CATCCTACGCTGAATGTTTTCTAATGAATTTATGTCCATTTTGTAATACGGAGACCAGAACTGAGCTGCATAATCTAGGTGAGGCCTTACTAATGATGTATAAAGCTGCAGTATGACCTCTGGACTTCTGTTGCTTACACTTCTTGATATAAATCCCAGTAATCTATTTGCCTTATTACGTACGCTTAGGCATTGCTGTCTTGGTTTAAGGTTGCTGCTCACCATAACCCCCAAGTCCTTTTCGCAATCTGTATGGCTAAGTTCTACATCATTTAACTTATAAGTACTAGGGTTATGGGCACTCCCAAGCTTCAGAACCTTGCATTTATCTACATTGAACTGCATCTGCCACTTTTCTGACCAAGAATAGAGTTTGTTTAAATCCTCCTGAAGTTCCATAACATCTACGTTTGAATCAATTATCCTACCTATCTTTGTGTCATCGGCGAATTTGCTCATATCACTAGTAATTCCCTCATCAAGATCATTGATATACAGTGGTCCCTCGCTTTTCGTAGTTCTCGGCAATCATAACTTTCGCCAATAATAGGGGTATTTTCGTATAAACATGGACTCGCTTTTCATAGGTTGACTCGCGAATAGTAGTTCGTCCAGGACGCTTACGCACGGTGTGAGCCGGGGAGGCCTCCCTACCCACCCAGTCTGGCATTGTTTACCAGTGAGTGAAGGTCCCCTCAAGTGCTCCTACGAAATATTTCATAATATTCCACTCATTTTAGTGCTTGCAAGTACTAAATAAGCTACCATGGCTCCAAAGAAAGCTCCTAGTGCCAAGCCTGTGGTAAAGAAGGTGAGAAATATGTACAGTGACAAAGTCTTGTACCATTTTAGGGAAGTGTTAAAGAGACGCCAGAAACAGAGCTCTCTCCACAGTTACTTTGCGAGACAGGACTAGAGTGACTCTCAAGGTGGTCCTAGTGGCATTAAGAAACAGAGAAGAGAAGCAACCCCAGAGAAGCAATTGGTACTTGAGGTGTTGCTGGAAGGGGATTCCCCTTCCAAACTGTAAACAATCCAATCTCTCTCCTCCTCCAGTCTCCCATACACTAAGAAGAATCTCCAATAAAGGTAAGTGTTATGCTGTTAATGTTTCATTCATCATTTCCCATTGTATTGTTTATGTACTACATGTATATTTCATGTAAAAAAATTTTTTGTTTTAATACTTCTGAGTGTCAGAAACGGATTAATTGTATTTACATTATTTCTTATGGGGAAAATTGATTCGCAAATCGTAAATTTCGTTTATAGTAGCTCCTCCAGGAACGGATTAATTACGAAAAATGAGGGACCACTGTATATTATAAACAACAACGGGCCCAAGACTGATCCCTGTGGAACGCCACTTGTTACAGATCCCCACTCGGATTTAACCCCATTTATGGACACTCTCTGCTTCCTGTCAGTGAGCCATGACTCGATCCACGAGAGCACTTTTCCCCCAATGCCATGAGCTGCCACTTTCTTTAACAGTCTATGGTGCAGAACTCTATCAAAAGCCTTACTAAAATCTAAGTAAATAATATCAAATTCTTTATTGTGGTCAACAGCCTCAAAAGCTTTACTGAAGAAAGTTAATAAATTAGTTAGACAAGACCGGCCTCTTGTGAATCCATGCTGAGTATCATTAATCAAGCTATGCTTATCGAGATGGCTTCTTATAATCTCAGCTATAATTGACTCTAGTAATTTGCCTACAATTGAGGTCAGGCTTATTGGGCGGTAATTTGACAGTAACGACTTGTCCCCTGTTTTAAAAATAGGAGTTACATTAGCCATCTTCCACATATCAGACACTACACCTGTTTGAAGAGATAAATTAAAAATATTAGTTAATGGTTCACAGAGTTCCATTTTGCATTCCTTAAGAACCCTTGAAAAAACCTCATCAGGACCCGGCAACTTATTTTGCTTCAGTCTGTCTATCTGCTTCACAACCATCTCACTAGTGACTGTGATGTTACATAATTTATCTTCTTCTAGCCCACTGTAAAAATTAATTACTGGAATATTGTTAGTGTCTTCCTGTGTAAAAACTGAGAGAAAATAATTATTTAAAATCAAGCACATTTCATTCTCTTTGTCAGTAAGGTGCCCATAGTTATTTTTAAGGGGACCTATCTTATCTCTAACTTTTGTTCTATAGACCTGGAAAAAACTTTTTGGGTTAGTTTTAGAATCCCTAGCAACTTTAATTTCATAGTCCCTTTTAGCTTTTCTTATCCCCTTTTTAATGTCCCTCTTAATGTCAATATACTGATTCATAAGATGACCCTCACCTCTTTTGATACGCCTATAAATTCCTTTCTTATGCCCTAGTAGATATTTGAGCCTATTATTCATCCATTTTGGGTCATTGATCTAATTTCTTTATATGGGATAAACGCTCTTTGAGCAGCATGTATAGTGTTCAGAAAACTGTCATATTGATAGCTCTCTTCGTTACCCCAGTCAACAGATGATAAGTGTTCTCTAAGCCCATCGTAATCTGCTAAGCGAAAATCTGGAACTGTTACTGAGTTATCGCTACTATCGTACTTCCATTCAATGCTAAATGTAATTGATTTGTGGTCACTAGCACCCAGTTCCTCTGAAATTTCTAAATTATTAACAAGGGATTCATTGTTTGCCATAACTAAGTCAAGCAGGTTATTTCCCCTTGTAGGTTCTGTCACAAACTGCTTCAAAAAACAATCCTGAAATATTTCTAAGAAGTCGTATGATTCTAAATTCCCAGTCAAGAAATTCCAATCAACATGACTAAAGTTAGTCTCCTAGAATTACTACATTATCGTGCCTTGTGGCCTTAGCAATTTCCTCCCATAATAGTTTCCCTTGGTCCCTATCTAAGTTTGGGGGATGGTATATCACTCCTAAAATCAGTTTTCATGCCCCTCTGAAAATTCTATCCAAACAGACTCTGTATGTGTTACTTCAGACTTAATACCCGTTTTTATGCAACAGTTCAAGCGATCTCAGACATACAATGCCACCCCCCCCCTCCCAATACTTCTATCTTCTTGGAACAATTTAAAACCCTGAATATGACATTCCGCAGGCATGTCCCGACTTTTTTAATTAAACCACGTCTCAGTTAAGGCAAATACATCAATGTTTCCTACACTAGCAACTAATCTCAACTCGTCCATTTTATTCCTAGCACTACGGCAATTAGCATAATAAACATTGAAAGACTCTCCTTTCTCTTTACCCTTCCTGCTCATTTCTATTTTTCTACTAAACCTATTACTGTCCTTATCACCCAAGGTCCCTGGCTTTTCAATATCTATCTCGTTCTTATTATTACTAGTTCCCCTAGAACTCATAATATTACAACACTGGGACTTCACTGTTTTCCTGCCAAAACCTATACCACTAACTATTCCTAGTTTAAAGTCCTAACTGCTCCCTCCACTGCAGTTGCCAGTGCTCCCACCCCACACCTAGATAAGTGAACCCCATCCCTAGCATACATGTCATTTCTGCCATAGAAGAGGTCCCAGTTGTCAATGAATGTTACCGCATTTTCCTTACAGTATTTGTCCAGCCAGCAATTGACACCAATTGCCCTGGACAACCATTCATTTCCAACTCCCCTCCTTGGCAAAATACCACATATGAGAGGGTTCCCACCCTTACTTCTAATTATTTCTATTACTGACCTATACCTGCTAATCAGGTCCTCACTCCTACGTCTGCCAACATCGTTGCCTCCAGCACTGAGACAGATAATAGGATTGCTCCCATTACCTCTCATGATGCCAAAAGCCCCTTTGTATGCACAATATGTACTGGGTATACAATAAGGTGAACATGCCAAAAGCCCCTTTGTATGCACATTATGTACTGGGTATGTATTTTACTTTTTATTACTTTTTTTAACGCTTAGTTTTAAAAGTGGAAAAAATGGCATTCTGCTTTCTGGCGATGTCCGCTTTCCAGCAGTAGCTTGGAACCTAACCTGCCATATAAGTGGGGCCGTACTGTACCTGTCCGCTTACAGTTCATACACGTTCATTTTGCATACATTTGTGAAGCTTTATCCACAATACAAACACCTTACATTGTGGACAAGTCTTCACGTTGGTGCAGTAGAATAAATACGTAACAGCAACATTCCCATTCTCATGAAACACACCATTTTTAGAGGGAATGATGCTCTGAGTGATGGCATATGAAATGAATAATTTTCTAAAGTTACCCTAGTAACACTATTGTGTACACTGTTTTCTGATGTTGGACTAGAGAAAACGTAATTCTTTCCGTCGTTCATTCAAGCCGCCTGCCTAGCACATCTCATATTTATGTCAAATTTGTTCTATTGTGGGTTTGTGTATTATGTTCATATGTTATGTAGCATATTTCTAATATAATTTTGAAAAATATCATAGATGGATTAATGAAAATGTCTATATCAACTTAATATACGATATTTAAAGCGCCCCATAGCGATTATTAATATAGTGTCTTCAAGACTAGTGAGACACTCTTAGTGATTTTAATATGTACCTGCACACCAGCACAGTGTGTAAGCATATTTAGGTACAGGTACACATTATTATAATTATCAGAGTATTCATAAAATATGCATTAAATTGAAAACACTTGAATCTTTGGAAAGTTTCCAGACATAATCGAGAGACATGGAGTTCACGGAGGATGTAAACAGAGTGGTTTGCAGAGGGTGTATTAGCGAGTGAGGGAGAGAGACGTATAACAAGTTTTGGTCATAATTTGAAATGTCTGTATTAGCAAAAAGCCATGAAGTGAAATGCCATAAAGTGGGGCCCTTCTATACTCATGTCATTTGAGTGTAATTCATTAGCATCCTTTCACTTTAAAAATATTATGATAACTCCATTGCAGTGAAGATATTTTACACACTGTATAATTCACTAAACTTATGTATTATCCTGTATGCATTACAAAACAATCTTAACATCAAAAGGCTCTCATTGTTTACCACTTTTTTTTTACAGGTCATCCTTACACTGCTAGTACTGTAGTACAGTATATTGCCAACACCCAGTGTCATCAGATTTAGGTAAATGACAGAAAAACTGACACACTAGTGTCAGCACCAAGCTTCCTGAAGCATACTACACTGTCATTTTTTTTATTAATACATCTTGGCCATTTCTGAAAAAAGAAGAAACACTTGCAAAAAAAGAAGAAAGAACTCCAAAAATGAATAAACACTTTCATCATTCACCCCATCACTGTCTTGCCAGAGGCACGCCTACACTGCAGTTAAAAAAACTGTAGCACATCAACACGCCTTCTTCAGAGTGCAGGCACTGTACTTCCCACATCCAAGGGTCAAGTCTGCCTTGCCTGTTTCCCTGAATCCCTTTATATATGTTACTTTGCTTATACTCCAACAGCATGTCAAGTCATGAAAACCATTTGTCTCCACTCCATATATTAGCGTCAGCACCAAGTTGTAATCTGTTAGAAATACTTCAGCTGTAGTATTACGTATATGGTTGAACTTAACAATCTTGGTATATAATCTCAAACTGGCTCATGAGTAGTGTTGTTCATTCTGAAGCAACAGCTAATATTAGTGAAGAGAATCATCCTCACATTAAAAGTAATGTGCATGTTACTAAAAACTGAGATGGAATTTTTTGTATGAAGACTTGATTATGAGACTATATGGAAAGATGCTCCCATCATTTGTCAATATTTCTTGTAATAGTCTTCAGTGAAAGAATGTATTAGATATGAGGTAATACAGAAGATAAAGCACAAAAATTTTCAGAGTACAGAAGGTATACCTTCAGGATATGTGAGTATTTACACATGATAAAAGTAATAGATTTATTCATTGCCTTTAATGACTTTGCCCAAAATAATGCAAACTACTGCATGTCATAGGAGAAATAAATGTATTTAATATTTAAAACTCGAAAAAAAAAATATGGAAAGCATGAGAGTTCATTCAGTAAAAATACCTCATCAGTGTGCAGTTTGTTCAAAAGTATTTTCATGTAGGTCTCATCTCAATAGACATCATACGGTTCATACAGGAGAAAAACCATTTCATTGCCCAGTGTGTCAAAAAGGCTTTAATGATAACTACTCACTAAAAATACATCAGAGAATTCATACAGGAGAGAAACCATATCAGTGTTCAGAATGTCTGAAAGACTTTATTGATAAATCCTCATTAAAACAACATCAAAGAATTCATATGGAAGAAAAACCATTTCAGTGTTTGGTATGCCAAAAAAGCTTTAAACGAAGTAGTTACTTGAATATACACATGAGGGTTCATACTGGAGATAAACCATATCATTGCTCAGTGTGTCAAAAGAACTTCACTTTTAAATCCTTATTAAAACAACATCAAAGAGTTCATACTGGAGAGAAACCATATCAGTGTTCAGAATGTCTTAAAAAATTTAATTATGAATTCTCACTAAAAGAACATCAGAGAGTTCATACAGGAGAAAAACCATTTCAGTGTTTAGTATGCCAAAAAAGCTTTAAACGAAGTTGTCATCTGAAAATACATATGAGAGTTCATACTGGAGAGAAGCTATATCAGTGCCCGGCATGTCCAAAGAAATTTTCCATAAAATGCTCTTTAGTAAAACACATGCGCACTCATACTGGAGAAAAACCATATCAGTGTTCAGAATGTTCAAAGGCATTTTCAAAACACTATGTTTTAGTTGATCACATGTCAGTTCATACTGGACATAAGCCATATAAGTGTTCAGAGTGTCAGAAAGGTTTTTCTAGTAAAGGAAAGTTAGTATTACATATGAAAGTTCATACAGGAGAGAAACCATATAGTTGCGCTGTGTGTTCAAAAAGCTTTTCACGAAAATTAAGTTTAGAAAAGCACTCAAAAATTCACAGCAGAGAACCTCCATATCGATGTTCAAGGTGTCTAAAAAGTTTTTTGCATAAAACTAACCTAGTAAATCACATGAAAACTCATATTCAAGAAACAATCACTAGCAATGTTTAGTATCTAAAATATTTTCAAGATAATCATATCTTGTAAAACAAATGATGACTTTAGACTCAGCATTAAAACCCAAGTGTAATTGATGCTTTTCATTAGAAGCATAATATATGCATCAAGTATAATGGTTATGAAAGAATACAAATTCAGATTCAGCAACAATGACTAAAAATTCACTTTAAACAATTTGTTTATCCATGTCTGTCAGAAATAACTGAAGTCAAGTTAATGGCAAAGGGGTTCATTATTGAGGTATTGAAACCCCTTGACCAGGTCCTCAAATTGAATCTAAATATCCCTAACTCCTCCCTTTCTCCATCTGTCCTCATTAATAGGAAAATTTCCTTTTCTTTGATTCTCAGCTCTTAGAGGAAAAAAGATCACTATCACGTCTGTCCTGCATAGTTTCCATTGGTAGCCTTGCAGTTGTAGTATCACTCTACCTGATGGAAATTGGATCATCTCAAGTCATGTCATCATGGAAGGTTCCATGACACCATTGAAGATTTCTTGATCTAAAGAATGTAACCTAACCTCTTATTTCTTGGATTGAACCTGATTATCTTCTCCCCAAGGCATTGCATGATCCCTATGGGTTTTAGCGATCCCTATGAGTGTAATAATTGGGACTTGTCAGGTAACATTTTGGTGAGACATTGGGAAAGCATCTGGCAGGGACTCTGATGATGGAATTATTAGCCATGGTTGCCTGTACTTCCAGGAATAACAGCTGAGGATGTATAACTCCTGGCATCCTTTACCATTCACCTACCATATGATTAGCTGAAAGATCACAGTTAATAGTTTTTCTAAGCCTAGCTCAGTTAATATGTACTTGAATTGCTGTACTGGTGTTGTGTAGGGTGAGAGGACTAACAGCACTACCCGTCAGAGCTCTTCCCCCACTTACTTTCTTCATGATAAATGAAATAACTTCTTAATTTCTTGGATCCAAAGTGATTGTGACATTTCCCAAGCTCTGTACAATCATCTTGGGTTTTACATTACCCCTAAATATAATTCTAAAAAAAACTTAAACCGACCACAGCACAGCTATGGGCCCTGCTCAGAACCCAAAATCACTTTCAGGCAACCATTCTTTGCCTGAGCATTGAACCTACTTCTGGTACTTCTGACCCTCGTTCCAACCTAGTCGAACACTTGACGACTCTGCTTTAACACATAACGTACCTCACTTGTCATGACAACCCACTACCTAGAAACTTCTTTCACTACAAAATATCTAGAAATAAATTTTGTGCAAAATTCTTCATACTCAAACCTATGATACCTAATTCATAGATATATGATCATCACTTTAAACAAGAACTTTCATCATGCTCCAGCATTTACATCCATCAGCCCTTGCAATCCTTTTATATCTCTTTAATCTTATATGGTCACAAGGAGTTCTACCCTAGCTGTGGAAATCTGCCATTGTACTACCTTTTTTCGTAAACCAGGTACTTCTGGACTTGATGCCTCCCATTATCATCCCATTGCTCTTGCCAGTGCAGTTTGCAAGGTGTTGGAACGTCAGGTAAATAGACGTTTGATGTGGTATTTAAGAGAGACAATAGTCTCTCCACTAGTCAGTATGGCCTTCGTAAGGGCCGTTCTACTATTGACCCCATACTCCGTTTAGATACATGTGTACGTAATGTCTTTGCCAATAACTACTTGGTTATTGCCATCTTTTTTGATCTTGAAAAGGCATATGACAACTTGGAGATATAACATCTTGGCCCAAGCTCACTCCTTAGGCTTCCAGGGAAATCTGCCACTTTTCCTTAAAAACTTCTTATCTGAGAGACATTTCCATGTTCGGGTTAATAATTTGCTTTCCTCTTATGGTCCTCTTACATATTTTTAATCTTATTTGGTCAAAAGGGGTTCTTTGCCAGCTGTGGAAACCTGCCATTTTTCTGCTTTTTCATAAACTAGGTACTTAGGGAAATGATGCCTCAAACCATCTTCCCATTGCTCTTTCCAGTGCAGTTTGTAAATTGATGAAACATCTAGTAAAAAGTTTAGTGTGATATTTAAATTCACACAGTAGTCTCTCCACTAGTCAATTTGACTTTTGTAAGGGCCGCTCCAATATTGACCCTTACTCTGCTTAGATACCTATGTTCATAATGCCTTTGCTAGTAACTAATCAGTTATCACGGTCTTTTTTTTTTTATTTTGAAAAGGCACATGACACTACTTGGAGATATAATATCTTGACCCAAGCTCATACCTTAGGCCTCCAAGGAAACCTGCCACTTTTCCTTAAAAACTTCTTGTCTGAGAGACATTTCCGTGTTCATGTTAATAATTTGTTTTCCCCAGACTTTGTCTAAGCTGAACATGTCCTTCAGGAATGTGTCCTTAGCACCACTCTTTTTCTACTAACTATAAATGTGACCTCTGTTCTCCCAACAAATATTTGGTTATAACTATGTTGATAACTTCGCTGTAGCTTGTGCAGGCGCTGACTGCCACCTAGCACCAGCCTCACTCCAGAACGCTGTCAGTAATGTTTCCAATTGAGCCACTACTCATGGATTTTAATTTTCTGGTGCTAAAATGCACCAAATTACTTTCCAGAGATCTTCTATTGTCTCTGATACTCTGTTGTACCTGTATGGCTCCCGTATCCCTGAACATAATACGGTCAGATTTCCCAGCCTTCTGTTTGATCACTGGCTGTTCTGGAAACCTCGCATTCCTTCCCTGAAAGCAGATTGCCATAGCCAGCTGAACCTCCTTAAAACCCTCGTTCATCTTTCATGGGGGTGAATCGTCGAAGTCTACTTTGATTTCATTTAGCCCTAATTTTATCAAAACTAGACTATGGCGACCAGATGTATTCTGTGGCCTCTACCACAACTCTTTCTAAACGGGTTTCCATTCATCATCAGGGATTACTTTTATGTCTAGGTGCTTTTTGTTCCTCCCCTGTCCAGAGCCTACATGCAGAGGCGAATGTTCCATCCTTGAATAACTGACATGATGCCCACCGCCTCTGTTATTTTGTCCACCGTCATGATCTTCATGATCCTTCTACATACAAGATAAAAACGGACTTTAGTAGAGGCTCATTATTTGTTCACTGTCCCTGTTTATTCCATCTCTTTTCTCTTCGTCTTCACTCGCTATTGGCTTCTCTTCAATTGCCCCCTTTATACCTGGAGTATACCTGCAGAGGGTTTCGGAGGTCAATGCCCTCGTGGCTCAGTCTGTGACCAGGCCTCATGGTAGATCAGGACCTGAACAACCAGGCTGTTACTGTTGGCCGCACGCAACCCAACGTACGAACCACAGCCTGGCTGGTCAGGTGCTCACTTTAGGTGCCTGTCCTGTGCCTTCTTGAAGACAGCCAGGGATCTATTGGTAATCCCCCTTATGTATGTATCTAACTTTGCTCTTTATCCTTGGGAGATTCCGATGGTTCGAGTCTGTTCTTCTCCAGTGCCGTGTGTGTAAGCTCGAATACCTACAGTTGCTTCTCGCTCCCTTTTTCTCAACCACTTTCAGTCTCATTCTCATGCCATTGCAGTTTACACTGATGGTTCTACATAATCTGATGGTGTCAGGTTTGCAGCAGTGTTCCTGGACAATGTCATGAAAGATCATTTATTTGACCTGACGAGCATTTTCACCACTGAACTGCATGCAATTCTCATAGCAATTATATGTATTGCATCCAGGCCTACCTCAACATCTCTGATAGACTCAAACTTTTAGGGCTTTGCAAGCTATCAAAAAATTTAATTCGCCTCATCCCCTAGTTACACTGCATTTCTAGGAAAAACAAAGAAATTGTTTTCTGATGGGTTCCAGGTCATGTTGATATTCAGAGCAACAAGGAGGCTGTAATCTCGAACTGCCTTTGCAATCATTGGCAGTATCACTGGTCCAATATGAATCATCAAAAATTATATTCCATCAAGCCAAGTTTAAGTTTCTTGTCTCATTATCGATGTCGTGGTTGGGAGACTGTGCTTTCCCATCTTCGCATTGGACACACATCTCATGGATATCTCATGGAGAGGTGCCCAGTGCCACTCTGAGAATTACCAGGTTCAAATTTCAGTTTACCGTATTCTATTGGACTGTCCTATATATCAGCAAGCACTCAGAATTTACCTCCTGCTTCATCACTGCTCTACCACTTTTCCTTTACCTTCCCTCCTAGCTGACAGCCCCACCTTTGACACAGACTTCCTCTTTGACTTTTTGACTGCATCAGATTTATGACACATCCTTTGATTGTACTTTAGCACTCCTCATCACCCTTACTAACACTACCTCTGTTATACTCTGCACCCTTGCTAGTTTCAGATCATGCATATTACACAGCTCATCCAGCATACCCTCCAGTGCTGTGTAATCCTTGTCAGTTTAGCGTTTAGTTTTGATTGTAATAATCCCCATCTGCAGTTCTTGCTAACTATTGCAAACTGAGAGAAAGGGTGCAGTAAAAATTTCATACTTTATATTATTTGACTTATTATATAAGCTTATGTATGTAGGTATGATTGTAACAACTACACCTCTCATTGTTCTCACTGTTGGAGAGTTTTGATTGGCTGCCAGCACTCAGCAAACTACCTGCCCACTTGTTATATTGCTCATGTCAGGGGCTACCTGGTATGAGTCACCTGATGTCAGAGCTGGAGGCTTGTTTCTCTCTCTGGAGGGAGAGAAAGAGATAACATCTCATCTCTGCTGTCAGCTCGTGTCATTTAGACCCTGTTTTTGGTAGGGTATGTCTATGATAGTGAGCCGGGACATACATCTCGTAACTCTGTGCAACTTTATTCACAGAGTATTACTTAGATTTAGTGATATTTGACATTTGAAGAGTTCATGTGTCATAGAGACATTATATCTCTGGTCCCGAGTTCAGCTCTTAACCTACATATGTTCTGGTATCTACACACCGTCGTAGTTTTGAAATTGGAATTGCTGAACGTTTCAGTAATAAGGGAGTTTTATGCCTTTTGTGAAGAATCTGTTGAAGGTCTGTAGCTAGGGTCATTTTTGTCTCTGATTCCTTGCCTGATGCTGTGCAGTTCATTGCTGCTTTGAGAATTTTTGCTGTTTGGTGAATGGGTCATCATATTGTTCAAGCAAGCTGTTTGATTGCCTTGATGGTTGGGAAGTTAGATTATTTGGGGACTTGTTGTTGTCAGTCACATTTTAAGTCTATGTAGAGTCAATCTGAGCACATATTGAGCACTTGCACGTCATTACTCTTGTACTTCAATACATCTCATCATAGTAACGTACCAGACAGTACTTATTAAGAGTCAGTAGCTTATTAAGCGTGCACTTAGGACCATATGATTATATGTACCACGTTATACTCCTGTTGTGTAGGAGCTTATCTCCTTAATTATTCAAACTATATTAACTGTACCATCTAGACACCCTTATTATTAAAGATCTCAACTTTTATTTGGTTGGTTTGTATTCAACCAGTTACAATGCAAAAGTGCTATTGAGAAGCCACCTAATTTTACAAGATAACTGCATGAGAATACTCTGACAAACTCTTACAAAACTAGAAACAGGCTAAATACTAGAGGGGGGGGGATCAATAAGTTGACCTAATATTCTCTGGAGATGTCTATACTTCATAGATGTCGCATTTTGTTTGTAACATTAGCCTTTTATATTTAATATTTCGAAACTCTTCTACTTCCTACTATTAAGGTACATCCTCTCTCTCTGGCTTCACTATATAGATGATATATTTGCTCTTTGACCCCATGACTAGTCTATTCCAACCTTTTCTCAATTCCTTTAACAATCTTAATCATTCTATCAAGTTCAAAGATGAACAAGAACTTAACTCTTTTCTTTCTTTCCTTGATGTGCATGTCCACTGCTTCACGACATGCCTTTCTTTTTCTCTCTATCGCATGTACCCCTCAAGGGAGGTTCCTTGACGTTGGTGAGGGGCTCTTGATCTAGGGAATTGGATCTGTGTTCCGGTTCCCTGAATTGAACCTGAATACCTTCCATCCCCCCACATGCGCTGTATAATCCTACGGGTTTAGCGCTCCCCATGATTATAATTATAAAATCTATCGCATGTACATGTAGCGTGTACATTTTATCATGCTTCCTCTCAAGAAAAATGTTCTTGTTTCTTTCTCTATGCTCTGCATCTGTTTCCCTCAGTTTCTTGACTCTGAAATTTCCACTCTTCACAGCTCTTTTTCTTGTCTTGGATATCCTCCCAATTTCAGACTATCTATTCTCATGCTAAATGGACTTCTCACAAACTACCATCTCCTATGAAATCTCCTGTTCGTTGTCTTCCCTACATTTCCAGTCTCCTAAATCTTAGCGATATCCTCTGTCCTTTAGGTTTTTTTTTTTTTCAAACTAATCCCTCCCCCCATAGCAATTTAGTTCATACTTCTACCACTGATGCTTCTGGTGTCTGCTACATTTCCTGCACCTTGTTGTCTCCACTGTATTGGTGAAACTGGCCAGTCTCTTTCTGACAGGCTTATGGAGCACAAAAGAAGTGTTGGCCTTGCCAACACTAACAATACCCTTTTTCTGCCATGTTAGAGATCAGTCATTCTCAATAGGATGATTCTGCCAAAACTGTCAACTCTTCTCAGACGCCGTCTTGAAGTATCCCTTATACACAACACTCCTAGCATGAATCTTAGTTCTTGCTTTATCTCTGCAGATTCTTTCCTTGTCAAATGCCCTAAACTTCCGAATACTTGTGACTTGACCTGAAATTTACTTCTACTTACCTCTTTATCTTTCCTACATTTTCATTTCCTCGCCTGTCTTCTGCCTTGGTGAGTTGTGTCCTTTGGTGATGTTTTGCATGGTATTTCACCTATGCCCATGGGCCAGTAGCTCTCCTACAGTGCTCCTTTGTTTTCTTGTTTTTTTGCACTACTTCTACCACCACCTCTGCAGCCACTATTGTTGTTTCTTCATTACTACTACATGTTGTATTATTGTTGTTTCTTCATTACCACTATACGTTGTCATTATTTTTACCTGGTTTTCCTCATCTTTTACTTCTGCTGCTTTCTCTCCCTCTACCACTGTTGTACTACTACTGCTACTACCACTTAAAATACTACTAGTACTCCCACTCTACTACTACTACTACCACCACCACCACCACACCTACTACTACTCACATGTTACAGGTAATGTGTTATATTACAGGTTTACCTGGAGAGGATTTCGGGGGTCAACGCCCTCACGGCCTGGTCTGAGACCAGGTCTCATGGTGGATCAGGGTCTGATCAACCAGGCTGTTACTGCTGGCTGCACGCAAGCTGACGTATGAACCACAGCCTGGTTGGTCGGGTACTGACTTTAGGTGCCTGTCCAGTGACTTCTTGAAGACAGCCAGGGGTCTATTGGTAATCCCCCTTATCTATGCTGGGAGGCAACTGAACAGTCTTGGACCCCGGACACTATTGTGTTCTCTCTCAGTGTACTCGTGGCGCCCCTGCTTTTCATCGGGGGAATGTTGCATCTCCTGCCGAGTCTTTTGTTTTCATAGGGAGTGATTTTCGTGTGAAGGTTTGGTACCAATCCCTCCAAGACCTTCCAAGTGTATATTATCATGTATCTCTCTCGCCTGCATTCGAGGGAATACAGATCAAGAACCTTCAACCATTCCCAGTAGTTTAGGTGCCTTATCGTACTTATGTGTACCGTGGATTTTCTTTGTACACTCTCCAGGTCTGCAGGTGGTATATATGTTGCAAGTAATGATGTTATGTTACAGGTAATGTGTGTCATGTTACAGGTGATGTGTCATGTCACAGGTAATGTGTGTGTCGTGTTACAGGTAATGTACGTTATGTTACAGGTGATGTGTGTCATGTTACAGGTGATGTTTATGTTACAGGTAATGTGTGTTATGTTACGGGTAATGTGTGCTATGTTACAGGTGATGTGCGTTATATTACAAGTAATGGCCAACAGTCTGTCTCAGTCTCACTCTCTCTCTCTCTCTCTCTCTCTCTCTCTCTCTCTCTCTCTCTCTCTCTCTCTCTCTCTCTCTCTCTCTCTCTCTCTCAATCTCTCTCTCAATCTCTCTCTCTCCTTCCAGTGATGCTGGCTGGGGTTATCAGTGTAAATAATGTACCAGGTTAACAACGAGGGTGACGTCAGTGTGGGGTGGATGAAAGTTGCACAGCAGACTCCACACCCTCACAGCACACTCCACACCCTCACAGCAGCCTCCACACCCTCACAGCAGCCTCCACACCCTCACAGCAGCCTCCACACCCTCACAGCAGCCTCCACACCCTTACAGCTGGCTCCACTCCCTCACAGCCGACTCCACCCCTTCACAGGTCACAGCTGACTCCACCCCTTCACAGGTCACAGCTGACTCCACCCCTTCACAGGTCACAGCTGACTCCACCCCTTCACAGGCCACAGCTGACTCCACCCCTTCACAGGTCACAGCATGCACTAGCAGAGCAGCAGATGCAAGTTTGCACTCCAGTTGGGAAGCAGACACAAACGTGCACTCCACTAGAGAAGTAGATGAAGCGTGCACTTAAGCAGAAAATCAGATACAAGCATACATTTTCAGTAGAGACAGATACAAGCTTTCACTCAAGAGAAACAATTACAAATGTGCACTCTCAGCAGAGCTGCAGATACAAGTGTGCAACCCAGTGGGGAAGCAGATACAAGTGTGCACTCCAGTGGAGAAGCAGATACAAGCATGCACTCCAGTGGGGAAGCAGATACAAGCCTGCACTCCTAGTATACAAGCAGACACAAGC